AAAAAAAAAAAAAAAAAAAAAAAAAAAAAAAAAAAAAAAAAAAAAAACCTAGAAACACCCTTCCTGATAGAGGATTTGGCACAGCATGGATGTGTCTCAGTCTCCAAAAGCAAGTGCAACTAAAACAACTAAAACAATTATTCCCCAGTGGCACCTAATACACAGAAGAACTGCTGCACAGAAGAAATGACCAACAGAGTGAACAGATGGTCCGCACAACAGGAGAAAATGTTCCCACACATGCATCTGATGAAGGCTAATATACAGGATCTACCTTAAAGATGTTGAGCAAATCAACCAGGAAAACAAAAACTCAATGAAGAAAGGGCAAGGGGCATGAAAACATGCACTTCAAAAGAAGGCTTACAGCAACTAACAGACATGACAACATTTCTCTACCTCAGTCATCATCAGAAAAAGACAAAGCAAAAGGCCCACGAGATAGTACTGCACACTGGCCAGAATGACGATTAGGACACGGTCCACAAGAACGAATGCAGGCGAGGCAGAGAAGAGGGACGCTACTCTGCTGCTGGTAGAAATGCAAACCAGTTCAGACACCATGGAAAGCAACGTGGGGATTTCTCAAATGACTTTCTCCCCATCACTAATCCTCACAAAAATGTCCATGAAAGCCACCCTAACATTCTGTCTCCTTCCACTCACTATGAATACTACCAAAAACAAAACACTAATTTTTGAAGGTGCCAGCCAGTGTAGACTTAAAGAAAGGTAACCTCTTCAACACTATTGGTGGAGATGTAAACTAGTATACACACTATGGGAAACAGCAGGGGTTTCCTGAAAAACTTCACAGAACAACAACCATGTCAGCTGGCAGCCCCACTTCTGGTTCCATATTTAAAGCAGTTGCAATCCCTGGGCTGAAGAGAGCTATCCGCCTTCCATGGGTACTGAGGCACTTGTAACTGTGGTCAAGGTATAGAACCAACCTACCCGTCCACACACAGCTGCAGGGATGAAGAAACTGCTGTACAGATACACCATGGAGTATGTTCCAGCCATAAAGCTCTGGGAAATCCTGCCATCTGCAGCCACATGAAGAAACCTGGAGAACATCAGGTCCAATGAATGAGCAAATGGTAGACAAAGTGCCATTCCACATGATCTCAGGCATGCAGACTGAAAACATCTTCATCTCCTAGAAGCAGAAAGTTCAATGGGGGCTACTAAAGGGTCACTGGGAAGATGGAGAGGATCTGGGAAGGAATCAGTAATGGGTAAAAAGTTACTCTCATGAGAGCAATCAATTCTGGTCTTTTATTCCACAGCAGGGTGACTGGCCTTAACACAAATGTATCATATGCCTTAAAGTAGCTAGAAGAAAATATTCTCAATGTTGTTACCACACAAAAAAAATCATAACTATATGAGGTGAAGAGATGCTAAATAACCCAATTTGATGATTACTCAACATACACATGCATCAAAATCTTCCCTGTACCCTCTAATTATATACATTTATATATGGCAAATGGTGTTTTAAGATATATAAAGAAAACAATGCCAAAATTCTCATGGAAATGTGAAACACCCTGAATTTCCAAAGTTATCCTGAGAAACACAAACCATGTGGCATGTATCACATTCCCTGAGTTCTAATTAAATGAAAATCCCTAGTTAACCAACCCATATGTCACTGGTAAACACAGAGAAATAGAGACCAGTGAGCAAAATGAGGGTGTTCAATAATAAACACAAATTTATATAGAGTTAACACATTTTTCAAAACAGTTCCAAACTGACACAATGGGAAAGGTTTTCAAAACTAGTATCCATATGCAAAAGAATAATACAGGACTCTTATGGTATGAAATACACAATAATCAACTGAAAAGGATGAAAGATTACACACAAAACTTGCAACCATAAAGTTCCTATAAAGACAACCTCGGGTGTGCATATATTTATTGCAACTTGAATGTATGCTCACGATTTGCAAAAACTAATAAAAATACACGGAAAAGAAAATCATGGACAATGGACTGCTTTGGTAGTGATTTTGTTTTTTCTTGATTAGTAACCAACAGCACAGCTAACCAATAAATTATACATGTGGAGCCACGTCAAACTGAAGAGTTTGCGCCTAATAAACAACGAACAAAATGAAAAAGCATACTAAAAATTGTAAGAAAATTTAGGCAAACATTCAGTGGCATATGGAGTTATTTTTGAAAAGGTACAAGCTAGCCAGTAACACTACCAGCTGGCCAAAAAAAAAAAAAAAAAAAAAGCAGAAAAATAACCAAACCAAATAACCTGAAGAGATATTTGTGCAGACAAGAAACTGACACAACATTTGCAAAAATGCGGTTACCATTACTACTCATGAGAAAAATGAAGATCGAAACCACACTCAGATCTTATCTCACTCCAACTAGAATGAACATTACAAACAGATTAAAATATTTAAAAAGACAACTTCTAGTATGAATTTCCACAAAGGGGAACTGTTTGTGGAAACGTAAATTAGTATTAATGCTATAAAAAACAGTTGGGAGTCCTGCAAAGAATAGGAAAGAAAACTACCATACCATCTAGCATTCCCACTACTGGGTATACATTCAACCTAACTGTCCATCCACAGATAAAGGGATCAAGAAACTCTCGTTATGTATACAATAGGGAATGTTCTTCTGCCACCAACATGATGAAACAGTGTCATGTGGAGACACCAAGATGAACTTGGAAAGCATTTTGTTAAATGTAATGAGCTGGGCCAAGAAAGGCAAACACTGAATCTTAAGATGTCTATCTTAAAGAGGTAGAAAGCACAATATTGGTTGGACCAGGGTCTGGGAGACAGAGGGGGAGTAGGGATTGGTTATGGAAGCAAAGTTATCTTAACTTTTAAGGAACAAATCTGAGTGTTGTCTTCCTCAGCGTGGTTACTGGAGTTAACAATATTATATTTTTCAAAAGAACAAGAAAGGAGGATTTTGAGTGTTCTCTCCACACAAAAATAATACCTTATGAGGGAATAGAGATCCTAAGTACCCTGATTTGATCATTACCCAATCTATATATGTGAAAATGTATCCCTAATTATGCACTTTTATGCTACGAAAAAACAGTTAACAGAAATAAATACATATTGCTAAAAATCACAGGGAACCATAAGAGCAATTAAAGAATCCTGAGAAATACAATCAAAGTGAGGACCCACAATCCTCGATATTAAATCACACTGCCAAGCTGCAGTTATGCAGCAGATATATGGTACTTGTATAAAAACAATACCTAGAACTGTGGAAAAAAACAGGGAAGACAAAACAAGATCAAGGCAAATATGGACACAGTCAACTCACTTTGATAAAGACCACCGCAATGTGGAAGGCAGAGTCTGCTCAATGAATACCTTTGAGAAAAATGATATCTGCATGCAGAAGAGAGAAACAGGATCTTGATTTTACATGATATATGAAAATCAACCCCCCAAAAAAAACAAACAAACAAACAAACAAACAAACAATACCCCGAAGACCTGAACAAAAGATCATAAACCACAAAATGTTTTTAACTAAAAAAAAGGTTGAGCATATATTCTGGGTCACTCTCACCTTTGCAAAGAGAAAAACAAACACCCTGGAAGAAAAACCCCATTGACAATTAAAAGCTTTGTCACTGATAAGTATTTTCTTATATGGGTGACCAAAATTACATGCATAAAACACAAAAATAAACATGGACTACATCAACCTGAAAAGTTTCTGCACAGCAAAGAAACTACTTTCCAAATAAAAAAAGCATCCTATAGATTAGGCAAAAATTTCAGGTAATCATGTAATTCACGAGTTGTCATCTAAGGTGTACACAAAAAACACTACAAACTAGCAAAATAATCTAGTATTTCACAAAGGACCTGAACAGACAATTTTGCGACATAAAATCGAACAACAGATAAAAGGTCCTCAAAATTAACTAATCAACAAAGTTAACTGCATGTGGTTTAACTGAAAAACACACACACAGATAATTTCACACTTACTGAATATTCCTGGAAAGTTTTTTAAAAATAGGAGAGGCCAGGCTCGGTGGCTCATGCCAGTAATCCCAGAACTTTGGGAGTCTGAGGGAGCAGATCACCTGAGGTCAAGTTTGAGACCTCAAAGAGACCAGCCTGATCAATATGGAGAAACCCCATCTTTACCACCGATACAAAAATTAGCCTGGCGTGGTGGCGGGCCCCTGTAGTCCCAGCTACTCAGGAGGCTGAGACAGGAAAATTGCTTGAACCCGAGAGCGCAGGTTGCAGTGAGGCCAGATGGCACCACTGCACTCCAGCCTGGGCAGAGCGAGATTGTCTCCATAGGAAAAAAAAAAAAAAAAAAAAAAAAAAAAAGGGAACGCGGGTATGGTTTTAGAGAAAAGCAAACTCATACACTGCAGATGAAAATGAAAATCAGAATACACACTATGGAAAACAACTAAATACCTGGAGAGTCCTCAGAGAATTCACACTACAGATGTCCCCTGCTCTATTGTGCTATAGCGAGGTCTCTTTCTAAAGGTCCTGAGACATCAAAATAACCCTGGACCTCAGCTCAGAAGCCCAGGGGCTTGGAGGGTCCCAGGTCCCATGCTTCGCCGCAGCCTATGGGACAGGCGCTCCTATATGCTGGACGCGGGTCGCACACCGTTCCCGGCCAGGATGCGGACGCTGGGGCGGCCAGGACCCCACAACCGCCGCCATGCAGACTACTGGGGCCCAGAGGCTCACAAGGAGTCAGGGCCCAAAAGGGAGCGGCGGAGAAGGAGCAGGGAGGCCTGGAGGGTTCCCGGTGGGGTCCATGCCCCGCCACTTACCGCGCAGACCTGTCTCCCGCTCCCCCATCACATGGAAGCCACCAAGGCTTCTCCGAAACTCGCTGGGACCGCGCCGCCGCTTCTGGCTGCCGCCGCCGCGTCTGCCGGCTGGGACCGCGCCGTCGTTTCCGGACACCGCCGCTTCTGCCGGCTGGTTCCGCGCTGCCACTTCTGGACACCGCCGCTTCTGTCCGCTGCAGCCTCTGCCGGCTGGGACCGCGCCGCCGCTCCTGGACGCCGCCGCTTCTGCCAGCTGGTCCCGCACCGTCGCTTCTGGACGTCGCCGCTTCTGGCTGCCGCCGCCTCTGCCAGCTGGTCCCGAGCCGCCGCTTCTGGACGCCGCCGCTTTCTGCCGGCTGGTCCCGCGCCACCGCTTCTAGGCGCCGCCGCCTCTGCCGGCTGGTCCCGCGCCGCCGCTTCTGGACGCCGCCGCCCCCTCTGCCGACTGGTCCTGCGCCGCCGCTTCTGGACGCCGCCGTTTTCTGCCGCCTGGGACCGCGCCACCGCTTCTGGGCGCCGCCGCCTCTGCCGGCTGGGACTGCCCCGCCGCTTCTAGCCGCCGCCTCCTCTGCCGGCGGTCCTGCCCCACCGTTTCTGCGGGCCGCTGCTTTTGCTCGCTCCAACCGAGGCCGCGGCTTTTGCTGGGGCCCAGCGGGAAGCCCCGCTCGGCTTCCGTAGAGGCGCGCACGCCGGCAGCGTCCCTAGCGACTGGCTGACGCACCACCCCCCTCTTAAAGGGGCCGCAGCTCGGACTGCGCAGAAGCAGCCTCGCGTTGCGGCACAGGCTGAGCCTCTGCCCAGCCCCAGCGGTGGACGAAAGGACCCTGTGTCTCCTCCCGGCTCTAGGGCCCTGGAAGTGACAGGAGTGGAGCCCTGTGATCCCAGCCCCGAGATCGGCTCCCTTTGCCTGGGGAGCTTCCAGGACCTGCTCCTGCCCTCCTCTGGACCGCAGCTTCAGGATCCGCAAAGGAAGCGGCCTGGCCAGAGCTCTGGGGTCCCTCACGCGTGGCGCCTCGGGATGCAGGGTGGGCTCCCTGGTCCCTCTGCAGAGGGGGCCTTAGAACCACGGAAACCTGGGGGTTGGAGGGTCAGTCCCCAGGGCAGCAGGGCCTCCCCGGCCTCCCTGTCCCATCCGTCCTGTGGGAGCCCAGGGGCCTCACTAGGGCACTGACACTGCGGCCTCACTGGGGCTGCCTGGGTAATCGGCTCCCCAGGAGGCAGGCCGGGGTCCTGGGGTCCAACGCTGCCAGACCTCAACTCCATCCTGGGTCAGCCCCGGAGGCGCCTGCGGACTGGACCCAGCCAGCCCCTTCCCAGGGAGAGGGACCCGCATCACATCTGCCTCTGTGACACCCACAGGAGGGCCATGCTGGCCTCTCCCGGGGATCTGGGGCGAGGCGGGGGAATCCCAGCCACCTGGGCAACATGCTGAAACCTCGTGTCTACTGCAAATACAAAAATTAACCGGGCGTGGTGGCGCCCACCTGTAATCCCAGCTACTGGAGGGGCTGAGGCAGGAGAACCACTTGACCCCGAGAAGGACGTTGCAGATCTGGGGTCACTGCAGTCTCCGCCTCCCAGGCTGAAGCAATTCCGCCTCAGCTTCCCGAGTAGCTGGGATTACAGGCAACCGCAACCATGTGCGGCTGTTTGTATTTTTAGTAAAGACAGGGTTTCACCACGTTGCCCAGGCTGCGCTCAAACTCCTGACATTGTGATCTGCCATCTTGGCCTCCCAAAATGCTGAGATTACAGGTGTGAGCCACCTTGCCCGGCCGGGTCAGGAGTTCAAGACCAGCCTGACCAATATGCTGAAACCACGTCTCTACTAAAAATACAGAAATTAGCCAGGCATGATGGCACATGCCTGTAATCCCAGCTACTTGGGAGGCTGAAGCATGAGAATCACTTGAACCCAGGAGGCGGAGGTTGCAGTGAGCCGAAATCGAGCCACTGTACTCCAGCCTGGGTGACAGAGCGAGACTTCATCTCAAAACAAAATCGAAAACAAAATAATATTCAAAATGTTAAAGACAGAAAGTAGAATGGTGGTTGCCAGGGGCTGGCAGACGAGGGAACAGGGAGTTTGTATTTTACGGGTAGAGAGTTTTAGTCTTACAAGATGAAAAGAACCATCCGGGCGTGGTGGCTCACACCTGTAATCCCAGCATTTTGGGAGGCCGGGGCGGGCAGATCACCTGAGGTCAGGAGTTTGAGACCAGCCTGGCCAACATGGAGATACCTTGCGTCTACTAAAAATACAAAAATTAGCCAGGTGTGGTTGTGGATGCCTGTAATCCCAGCTACATAGGAGGCTGAGGCAGGAGAATTGCTTCAACTCGGGAGGCAGAAGTTGCAGTGAGCTGTGTGATCCTGCCACTGCACTCCAGCCTGGGTGACAGAAGTAGACCCTGTCTCAAAAAAAGAAAAAGAAAAGAGCCATGGAGACTGATGGCAGTGATGGTTGCCTGACATTATGAATACATTTAATATGTTTAATGTGACTCAACTCTGTACCTAAAAACAGTCAGGATGGTAGATTTTATGTTAAGTATAAATTACCACAATATTTTAAATATGAAAGAAAATCAGGAACAAAGATTTTACCAAAGCAACGTGTAGATGGTGGGTGCATGAAAAAGGTATTCCACCTCATTAGCCATTAGGGAAGTGAACATTAAAAGCACAATATTACTACGGACCTATCAAAAATTACCGCAGACTTACCAATGGCTAAAATAAAACATAACGGTAGTGCCAAATGCTGGAGAAACTGAATCATTTATACATTGCCAATAAGAATATATTTTATATTATAAAGTGTATCGAGTACAGCTGTTCTCGAATATACTTTAGTAGTTTCTTATAAAACTCAACATGTACTTAACATACAATCCAGCTTGGGCATTTTTTCCAGAGAAATGTAAACTTACATTCACATTTGAAAAACAAAAACAGGCTGGGTGCGGTGGCTCACGCCTCTAATCCCAGCACTTTGGGAGGCTGAGGCGGGTGGATCACAAGATCAGGAGTTTGAGACCAGCCTGACCAACATGGTGAAACCCCGCTCAACTAAAAATACAAAGATTAGCCAATTATGGTGGTGCCTACCTGTAATCCCAGCTACTTGGGAGGCTGGGACCGGAGAATTGCTTCAACCCTGGAGCGGAGGTTGCAGTGAGCCGAGATTGTGCCACTGCACTCCGACCTTGGTGACAAAGCAAGACTTAATCTCAAACAAACAAGCAAACAGAAAAACCTGTGTTCATAGCAGCTTTGTTCACAATAGCCAAAAACTGCAACCAATCCCAACGATAAGTGGGCTAATTAGCAGCAATTCAGATGAACCTCAAGGGTATGATGCTGAATGAAAAAAGTCAGTCGCAAAAGATTCCATACCTGCATTCCATGTATAATCATATACTGATGATTCTATATATATCAAAAGAAATCATATGAAAAGATCTAATATATATATTCTAGACATATATTCTATATTCCATATAATCATATACTAATTATTCCATATATGTATATATGTATACACACACACACACACACATGCACACACAAAACCTTAATTTAATTTTATTTTATTTTGCGATGGAGTTTCACTCTTGTTGCCCAGGCAGGAGTGCAGTGGTGTGATCCAGGCTCACCACAACCTCTGCCTCCCTCATTCAAGCCATTCTCCTGCCCTCAGCCTCC